ATCCCAAATGCGCATTCCGATTTGGGATATCCGAAATGATCATTTCGGACATTAACGCATTTGGGCTACAACATTTCTATATGAAAAATTTGTATCTTTTATTTGGCTAAGTATCGCGTGCGTGAAGATCATTTGTGACGTTCTAGTGCATTTCTTGCGACTTGTGCATGCGTTGCTTTGTTTTTTTAGTTCTTTCATAAATAAAGAAAATTTGTAGTACAAAAATATAATCAAATTTGCTTAACTATTAATTCAAATTTTTATAATTTTTTTAATGGTTTACATTATGCAAATTTATATATAATTCGTCCTTTGTAATTCTACAATTGCTTTAACTTTAATTAATAAAATTTTATAAAAAAAAAACTTTATATTGCAAATTCAAATTAATTTTTTTTATTTTTTATTTTATTATAATTATTACTATTATTATTAATATACTGTATGGGTGGTATGCTATTAAAATTGAGATCATATGATTTACTATGTCTCGTACCAATTTTAATAGCATACCACCCATATACTTCATATATAAATGTATTTTCACATAACATGTTATAAAAGTATCAATGATATAATATTTTAACCAATATGTTAAAAACTATTGAACAATTTTATTGCAATATTTTATTGGACAAATGTGGACTTAGTACAATTCCATTATTGTCCAATTGCAATTGGACTTGGAGAAACTAGTCCAAATTAGTCCAATTCCAATAGTCCAAATTGTGTCAATTGGACCTTGTCCATTGAAAGTACAAGTTATTTTTTAATCTATAATGCCACTTAAATATTACGAAAATTTTAATTCAATTAGTAATTAATAAAAGAATCAAATAATTTTAAATTCGACTTTTTTTTTATAGTCCATGAAATATATATGCGCGCTCGTGCATTTGCATTATAATGTCACGAATATAACCAAATCCGGTTAGATTATCTTTCAAAACAAATACAAATATGCGGCTTTTTCCTTTTTTTTCTCATAAAAACATCATGCGTATATTATCTTTCTATTCTTTCTATTTGCCCTTATTTTCAACTTTTTTTGTTAGTTATGTTACGGGGTTTGAATTTTTAAATGATATAAGCTGTGTCGAGCTGAAATCACAAAATGATCCAAATAATGAAATATTTTATAGCTATGATTGGATAATTAAAAATTTTCAGGACTTTTATCCTGTATCACCTAGTTTTATTAAGAGTGACCGGTTTTATTCTCCTGTACAAAGTAATTTGCAACATACCCAAGGCAATTATTTTGGATGGCGACTTTATATAATTCCGAACGATGGTCTTTTAGGGGGTCAACTCTCTGTAGGTTTAACCGCTATACAAACAGATTTTGAAAAAAAAGATATAGAAGCTGATTTGACAAAACGGAGCGCAGATCATGACTTTGAGCTATTCGTCAATTATACTGGGAAATATAAACCTGTATGGAAAAGTAAAAGATTCACTTTTAATAAGCATAGTGTATCATCGGAAGTTTCCAGATTTAATAATACCAAAATAATATTTCCAGACAATGACAAAACGATCAAAGTGGATTTGATCGTTCGAGTTAATTTTTATAAAAATAATTTGGCAATTGAATCACCGCCCGATTTTATGAGTGAACAATATTTTAACGATGAAGTGTTCAGTGATATCGTATTTACGTTTAGAGACAATTCTACGATCAAAGCATCTAGTATGTTCCTTGCTACAAAATCTTTACACTTTAAAAAATTATTAGGGGATACAAGAAAGGATGCCAGTAAGATAATTATTAAAATGGATGGATTTGCTTATGATAGTTTTTATAGATTATTACATTACATTTATACTGGAAAGCTTGATGACGATTTAAATTTTGAGGAATTATGTGATTTGTATAATGAAGCCAACTTAAGAGAAATTCATGATTTGAAAAAATTACTTTGTTGTAGAATTATTGATTTTGTAGATGAGAACAATTTGGATATCTTGTTTATGCTGGGAGTTAAAACAAAAAATAATGTGTTGAAGAATGCCGTTTTGAAATTTTCCGCTATTGGTCATACGGTGATTGAATCTTGATTTGGACGAAAAAAAAAATTTTTTTTTTCTAAAAAAATCACTTTCGTAAACAATATATATAAAAAAAAAAATATTATTATATCAGGATAAATTATAACAACCCCCTTTTTAAAATAGTATTTCTTCTTTTGTGTCTTTTTGATGATAGGAAAACTTGGTGTGGTGCGTAAGAATTATGAATCGATATGTATCTTCTATAAGGAAGTAATGAAGAATATCGAACGAATGGAACATTGGTTTTTTGAATTCATCAATATATAACTTTATCCAATAAAGAATGATTAAATGTATAAAAATATAAAATCAATCTGATGAAATTATTGCGCCTTTGACTCAGTTACTGACTCCAATTCCAACGATCACTAATTGAAAGAGGTTTAACTTGGAATTAATGGATTGAATTAAATTTTCATAAAAATTTAAAAATATAAATGCGTCCTTGTAATCTGAAAGTGGGTGTAATTTACATTTAAATTAATTTGATCTTGAGAAGTATAATTTATGCTATTCGACAGACATAAATATCGTGTATTCCTCACCAGGCTGTTTTTAAGAGACCAATTATACGATAAAGTTATCCTAAATTTGATTATTTGAATTCGATATATGCTATAATTAATTTATTTACCATCGCCACTGTAAAGTGAAATAAAAATACGAATCAGGTTTTATGAAAGATTTGAATTCACGATTCAATTGAATCACTTCGAACAAGAATTCGTCGTATGATTATTTTGTACTTTACATCGTGTAACTTTGTGTTTATTAAAATGAAAAGTACGATGGGATCAGTTGATAAGCCTTTTTACTTATATACTGTACGTCTCACCTAAAAATTGTAGTCAGCAACAATCATTATGGAAAAATTATAAATAAGAAGTTACGCTAGATCAAATGATCGACTTAAAAAAGTTAAGCTCAAATTAATTGTGATTAATCATTGTGATTAATTAACCTTGTGCAAAGCTCCTCCATTTTAATTGGTGGAATTGAATAATTTTTAATTTTCGCATGATATTATGAAAATCAGTAAACTAAACCTAAATCGGATTTTTATCGTCATAGATGCCTTGCCCCTCAAAATTTAATAAATACCTTAGGTGCCCAATTGACTGAGTGTGTTATTTAACCAAAAGTTCCTTTCCTTTTGGATAAAATAAACCAATTCTCACAACCAACAGCCAACTATATTTCTTTTTAATCGCAGCATATACATATCTATAAATATAAAAAGGAACCTCATTTTTTTCTCAAATAATATGGCTAATTTGCTTAAAGGACCCGCACATTCCTTATATAAAGAATTTACCCCATCAGCATATTTCTCTTATCAATTAGGTCGTAATTCTTTTCAACAAGGTTATCTTGGTATCACAAGCAATGTGTCGATCATTGGATTGCTGCACCTTAGATTTCCAGCACATAGACCTTTATATGCAAAGCAAATACAAATTTGTTTTCTGGGTACCGAATTCGTTCAAGCGCAATGCTCAGGTCCAAAATTTTCAGTTTTAAATACAAATACAATTTGTGAGGTTACTATCGAATTATGGAAAAGTTCGGATGATGAATATCAAGAAATCCTTGATATGGATTTACCTTTTGAAATTCCAATTCCCCTCGATATACCGTCAAGTATGTCCGTAGTTAAAGGACAAGGAAAGGTTGAATATTGTCTTCGAGCTATCATATCAAAGAAATCAAATCTTCGAGGTACAAAAAAGATCATACAATGTGCCTATACCGTAAGTCGTTATGCTTTACCTCCTTTGCCTAAACTTAAAAAATGGATAAAAAGAGATCCAACGAAAAGAATCGGGTACGAAATCAATTTAAATAATAAAGTTTTCGGACCTCGTAATCCGATCGTCGTAAGATTGAAGTTGACATTCTATGATTCCCGTGTTTCTTTGGAAAACTTCATCGTTGGATTAAAAGAATATATTGTTATTGCAGGTACATTTGATATTAAGAAAAAGAGTAAATACATGAGTATGACAATCTTAAACGGTCGACAATTACCAATGACAACGGAATCACAATATAATGAATGTATAGCGGACATTAAATTGTCAATCCCAGAAGACTGTTCTAGCAAATTGACTTGGTCTCATGAAAGTTTTAATATCAAAGTAACTCATAAGCTTAAAATTAAAGTTAAATTCGGTTTTTTTAGTAAATATAATTTTAGTTTGGATGTTCCCGTAAAAATTGTAAATATGTTAAGCGTTGAAGAGGAGGCTTATTTGGCCGCTGAACTTTTATATCAACAAGAAAATTCAATTAATTCAGAACCAGGAACTCAACCTAACTTCCCTCCCCCTAATTACGAACAAGATTGGCTTACAAGCCAAACTTCTCTTCCTCCTTATTCTTAAGATATTATTTATTATTCGAGTATTCAAAATTACAGTAAATATTTAATTATATAATGAATTTATGATTTTAAAAAAAACTGATGATTTTTCATTTATGTATAATTTATGGATCGTATGTCACGTGAATATCTTGCAAATTTTTTTTTTTGAATAAATAGGAGATTAAATTTACTTTGGATTAAAGAGAGAGATAAGCTTTATTGCCGTTGAATTGCGAAAACTTCTATCATTTCTAAGATATAATCTTTTATATTTTTGTTATAAAATATTGTCCGTTCCGTTTTTTAACATGATTTATTGTCTCGTGATTCGATTTCCGTTCTCTATAAACTTTTAATATTAAAAAAATGAGGAGTCAAATATTACAAACAAATCAAGTAAAATGGTTAATATTTAAAATGTATTTGGTTCGTTAATTTATAATTGCTCAATCTGCAGCACCTTCTATTTGGAAAATAAAAAAAAATATAAATACAATTTTTAATAATATATTGGAGATTTAATATAACCAGTTTATAATGATAACAATAAAATATTTATCGAGAGTATTTTGTATGTTACACGGTATGCAACAAACATTTAATCTTCCAAGATTCAATTGTCAAACAGGTTGACAAAGGATTAAGGATATTTTTAGGTCGCGCAATTACGTAAATCTATGCAACATTTATTAATGTGCGTTAAACGGGTCCCTTGTTAGCTTTCTAATACCTTGCGAAATGTTACGCTCTATCTTTGATTTTCTGTATGTAAAGTTTAAAAGTTTATATTTTAACATTTATCCAAATATAGCAATCTTTAATTTAAAAAGTCCTTTTTAAGAGATAAAGGATTTATATTATAAGGAAAAAAATACTAATGCATAATAATGCACATAATCTTTAAAGAAAATCCTTGTTTCGCGATCTACATAATAAGGGTTGCACGCATCATTGGTCAACGCTTTATGTTGATTATTTATTATTTTTTTTTTTTAATTCCTTTTTTTTAAAGGAAAAAAAATGAGACAAGCATCAATTCTAAAGAGCTTCTTGGCGATAATACTAATTGATGTGATTGGTTCATTAATTAAAGAACAAGGGTAGTTGTATAATATTTCATTCGAAAATTTGTTTATAAAATGCTCCAATTTCTCGTCTTCAATTTTTTTTTCATCACTCACATTCAATTGAAACATTCATTCCTAAATAATTACCACTACCTTTTAAAAGATTAAATAAAAGGAATCCTTTCAGAAACTTTCTTTTCAATTTTAAAATACTAAACCAAACCAACCACACACCTTAAATTTCTCTACATAAAAAATGAAAGGACTCAAAATCACCATCACCGTTGCTTTGGCAATTCTTTATACAACTACATCAGTTGTTTCAATTCCCATTAAAACCGACCTTGAATCACCATCTGTGTCTGTAATCAACAGAAGAGTCATTACATCTGAAAAAGGAGTTCAAGCTGATGCTTCTATAAAAGTACTAAAAAGAAATGCCGACGTCACTGTCAAAGCTGATGATGTTGTCAATTCAAGCGTAGATAAAAACGGAATTAATACTGAAGTTAGTGCTGCCGATTCCAACGCTTCTATATCGGCACAAAAAAGAAATGCCGACGTCACTGTCAAAGCTGATGATGTTGTCAATTCAAGCGTAGATAAAAACGGAATAAATACTTATGTTAGTGCTACCGATTCTACCGCTTCCGTATCTGCACAAAAGAGAAATGCCGACGTCACTGTCAAAGCTGATGATGTTGTCAATTCAAGCGTAGATGGAAACAGAGTTAATACTGACGTTAGTGCTGTCGATTCCACCGCTTCCATATCTGCACAAAAAAGAAATGCCGACGCCACTGTCAAAGCTGATGATGTTGCTAACACAATAACTGATACTAGTGCTTCTGTAAAAGTAAATTCAGTAAATCTTAAACGTAAAGTTAATTCTGAAGCCGGTGTCGGAGATACCAAAGTTAATAATGATATTACAGCAGATGTTGATGTTGTTGATGCTAAAGTTGATAAAGAAAATCCAAAAGTTGATGTTAATGCCAAACCCGAATTAAAAAACGTTAAAGTTGATACTGATAATAAAGTCGAAAAAGGTACAAAGGACAAGAGACAAGTAGTACAATAACTTAATCCATATTTATAATTTTTTTTATTATTTCAGTTATATATTATTTGTATAAATATATAAATTATTAAATAGAAAATTTTAGATGTATTATTTTTTTATAAAATTTATTTTTGATATTTCTCTATATTATTAATAAGAAACTATAATAAATTTATTTATTTTAATTGACATCATCAGTTCTAATTTTCTTCTGAACGATTATTTGAAATATTTGAAGTTATCAAATGTTTACTTCAACCCATATAAAATTCTATATACTTTATATACTTGACAAAATTAATTTTGGTAGAACATAAAATGATCTTACCTGTATAAAAAAAAACTGGTTTGTTTCTAAATGAGGTAAATATTATTTATAATTGTTGTTCTAATTACAATATGTTTATTTATTGGAGGATTTGAGGCCCTTAAATTGTTTTCCGATAGAAACATTGATCTTGAATAGCTTTTTACATTCTGTGAAATACTGTGGCATATAAATTTGAAAATTTGTGAACATAAACTAAGAGTTGCTCATTATTTATATTCCATTAATCAAGAGGAGCTTATATATAATGATTTTATTATGATCCTTTGCTTTGTTACAGGGATTATTAATTTATAAAATAGAAATATAAAGTAATGTTTATATATACAATAAGATCTTAAAATACAAAATATAAATGTTTAAAATATTATATAACGAATGAAACAACTAAAAGTTATTCAATCTAATAATGGGGTATGTTCGTTTGTACTACTTCTATTTTTATAGCGGTATAATGAGTAAATAATAATAGATATCACAAATATAAAAACAATAACTGCTTTAATAATTATTCCTAACTCGAGTGCAGTAGTATTTGGAGTAAAATTAGTGACCCACTTGTAATCATTTTTATCACTTACATCCAGCAAAAGTATTTGATTACTGAAAACATATTTATTATCTTTATAAATCAAACCTATATGAAATGTATAATTCCATTAGTTCAACTATTAGGTTTAATTAAGCAAAGTAAGATATCATACTATACCAAAAGCAATAACCATATAATTTCCGACAAGAGTAGCCGTATGCCGTGCAAGACTAGGGGTATATTTGATTAAGTCCATATACAATAATACGGCCATCTTTTGCTATATTGTAACGATAAAAGTTACTTAATTTGAAATAAAATAGTACGAATTAAAATTTCAAAAGTGCATACTTAAGACGGCTGTATCACTGGTGGAGTACCATTTGGAATCTATAAATATTTGAAAGTATTCGTATATTTATTTATACCAAGATTTAAGCAAATACGAGTAGGAAATTACCATTTGTGACCATTTATCATTATTGGTATCGTATATATCAATCTTAATATTATATCAAAAAAAAAAAATAAAATAAAAAAAGTAAATTGTTAAGATCTGATCAAATTTAAGAAAAGTAGATATAAGAAGTAAATTCAACTAATCATCACTGATCTGCTAATATTATAATTACCTTGACCTCCAAGAAAAACGATTTTACCGTCCGATAACATAGTTGCAGTAGCTAAATACCTAGGAGGTGTGATATTTTTTTATTTCCCAACGACCAAGTTAATTGATTTGTGTCCAAAATATCTATATAATTTCTAATGGAAAATGGATTAGGTATCGCACCAGCGAAGATATACATCTTCGCATATTTATTACAAGCAGCTGATGACCAACTACGTCTTACTGGTTCAAGTCCACTAATATTTGCATTAGTCCATTGTGGAACGCTAATATTAAATGCAAAAATTAAGGGTTCCTTAACATCAACTTCAACATCATCAAACAAAAAAGATTGTATCTTTGTTAAGACCGCAAACAGTTGATGTCGCTTTTGCATGTTTAGCGATCTGAATGTTGCTAGATAAATCGAAAATTGGCAAAGAATCTAGAGTAAAGGGTATTGAAACGTCTAAATAAAACAAATCATTGGTATAATTCGCTGTTTCTGTAATTCCACCAAGAAAATAAATTTTCTCATTTTGGTAATTTGCAGTATGAAGAGTACGTCCGGTAAGTTTATAAGAATTAACAATAGTAGCCAATAGAAAGAGTAAAATAAATAATCGAAACATCGTTAAGTTTGGATGTTTCATTACATTGTGGTTTTTATATCATTAATGTTACGACATTTGTATTGTTTTTGTGCTTATCGTATCGTTATATTTAAAAACAATAAAATAATGACATGTGACTTCATTTGGATGTTTTTACGAGCTTTTTAAATTTTGTCACCGAATTTTAGGATTTTATTGTCAATAAAAAAAATAAAATAATTTATAAATAATTTTAGAAAACGAATTAGTTATTAAGTAATAAATTAAAAAAAAAATCTATCATATTAAAAATAATTAAATAAGTTGGTCCTAATAGCAAATTTCGTATATGGGAGATTTGCTAGGAAAATGGGGCTCTGAGCATTTTTTATTAAAATTTTAATTTTATTGCATTTTAATTTTTGATAATGTTAGATTTAAATTCAATAAAAATTAAAATTTTAAAAAAAATGCTCAGAGCCCCATTTTCCTAGCAAATCTCCCATATATTAAAAAAATATAAATATACTGTAAATATTAAAGTTCAATAGACGAAACATAATTATTTAACTAATAGAAAAATATTAAGCTTTCAATAAATTAAAATAATTTGCAAGTTTAACATAATAATCTTTAAACATACGTCTTATATTCAGACCCATTAATGTCATGATCACTACTTAAATTGTGAAAAGATAAATTTTGAAAATAACACATTATATAACTCCGTGCTGCTTTTGATTCTCAAGATTGCAATCCGCAATCCTGGCAAGTCCGGTTCATTTATCCCCCCAACAGCACGTTGAGGTGGGTTAATTTGTTGTGATGCACCACCATTTATTCCACCATAATTTCTTCGGCATTACGTCTTCAAGGTGAGCGAGTTTAGGTTCTCGTGGAGAAGGAAATGAATGAACATTCATAATAATAATTGTTGGCGTATAAGCTTCTTTTGCTGTTATTGTTATTTTTATTCATCTAAAAAATGTAAAGTTTAACAGTTGAGACTATTTATTATAAATTTAAAGCAGCAAAACGAATAACTTTTAGTATACATACTGTGAATTATTGATTTTAAACATCTATAACGCAAAATTGTGTGGAAAAAGTAAAAAAAAATATGAATTTTTTATTTAAGTTTTTGCCTACGTTCATCATATTTATATAAATTCAGGAGACTATAAATCTATTATTCGACTTATTAAATTAAAAAAAATTTTTTTTTGTTCCACCAAAATGTAGATATAGATCATAGTGATGCTATAAAACTAATATTATCATTCATAATTATTTTAAGGCATGGATGAATCATTTTAAGAATCGATTAATCGCGATTAATCGTTCAATTCTTGTTTAAAGAACAAAAAGATCATTTGCCAAATATATATTTTTTAATATATTCTTTGATTCTTTTACTTTTTGCTTCGGGCTGCAGCGATAGGATATCTAAAGCACATTTTCTTTTTTTTTCGGAAGTAAAAGTAAGGATTCGTTGTTCATTTTAATTATTCTAATTGTCTTCTTTTCATATCTTTCATTTTCATTTTATTTACTTTATTTTATATTCTTAAAGTTCTCACTTTTCGTGTTCGATTAATTAAAATTGTTGATTTATTGATTTATTGTTGGTTATAAATTTTATTTTTTATTTACTGTTTATAACTTCGTTACATTGTATTTTTATTATTATTGTTTTTTTTTTTTTAGTATTTTTAGTTTCTACTTTTCTTCGGGTCGCGATTTTTTTTTTTTTTTGCCGTTTTTATTTGTAAATTGTCACTCGGAAATTTGATCATTTCTTGTATTGCATCAATTAATAATTTATTTAAATATGTAATTAAAGATTAAAGCAAAAAAAAAAAATAAATAACATTTTTATTTTTAATTATTTTTATAAAAATTTTCATGCTATCTCAAATGAAATATTTTTTGTTGTTGTCTGCCATTAATACATCAAAATATGAAATTAGATATCAATCGAATATTCGAACTCTATTTTTCCAAGAATATTTCCACATGGAATCCTCTTTATGTGAGGATATATATCAACCCCTTAAATTATTTAGTGAGAAAAATGATAGAGTATTTTATTTTTTTTTAAAAGATTGGTAGGTTTTTTTAAAGTTAACGTTTTTTTTAATTATATTTTATTTTTTTTTGCAAATAAAATCAGATCATAAAATACGTTTAATTTTTAATTTTATTTTTTTTTATTGACAAAAATACATATAAATTTTGAGGCTGAAAGTGAAGAGATAATTTTTTATTTTTTATCATTATAAAAACCATAACCGTCCGTTAAAATCGAAGTGTATATTAAGCTAAAAATTGCTTTACTAATAATAAAGAAAATAAAAAAAAATAATTAAAAGGATAGAAATGATCTAGTGGAATAGAAGGATTTAATAATGATTTTTAAATACACTCTCAGTTTTACCGTGTCTAATCCCGCGTAAATTTCACCGTGACGTGACTAATAGAAATCCATGATAATATACATTAGCTATTAGTGGTTGATTGGATAGTTGGGTCATTGAGTTGATTGTGTTTTCCAAGCTTGATAATGGGTTTATAAATTTACAAATATCGTTAATATAAGGATATGAATGTAAAATTTTCTTGAAATTCAGTATCTTAAAATGAACGAGGAGGAGAAATAAAATTAATTCGTTTTAAAAGTAAAATAAAAATTTTTCCAAAAGAGAATAACTTATTTACTAGTATACCATATTAGAGTAATTAATATTAAAAATTCCAAAATACATCTGCTGTGTGAAAATGGTCGTTATACAACATTGTCTTAGGGAAGAAAGTCAAGACATTTTTAGAAAAACATTTGGTTGGAACTATTCCATCTGAGCAATAAAAGGAATAGGCTCAATTAACATTTCAATCTATTCACAAAATCATCTAGATTCAGATTCAATATCATCAAAGACAATTGAAGACCTTTGCGTTTTGTAGTAAAATATTCTTTAAAGTTATTATGCGTTAAAATGTTTCAATTTAGGTTTTGAGTTCAATTAAAACTTAATTAACGAATAGCAAATAAATTCCTATTCTTTACTTTACACAAGAACCAATTTGATCGTACTCCCAATTTTATTGTCCTTAAAGATCATAAGCATAAGTTGGAAAAAAAGATTACATAGCGAATTATTTGATGTGCAACAAAACAATAAAGAATAATTTTGTCATGTTGCATTTGTCATTTCCTTTTATTTTTTTTTTAATAATCAGTTGTACAAAAAAGACAATTACAAATAAAATTTTAAACCATATATTTAATCCTTTGTTGACTCAAAATTGCGAATTAAAAAATTTAAGCTTTTCTCCATATATGGTAAATTGATTGAATCTTTTGAACGAAATCCTTGTTTCATGATCTACAGTGCATTGGTTCAAGGTTACATCATTGGTTTATCGATCGTTATTCGAATTTCAATAACGAAAACTTTAATTAGTGGATGACAATAATCAATTAAATAATAATCAAAGGATTCCTTTCAGTTATCTTTATTTTAAATCCTCCACTTCTACAGCAATGAAAGGACTCAATATCTTTAACCACTTTTGCTTTGGCAATTCTTTATACAACTGTTTCAGTTGCTTCAATTCCTATTAAAGCTGCCATTGAAAACCCATTAGAAATGTTAATTGACAGAAGAAGAATAAATAATTATAAAATTTACTCGAATGACATTTCATCCAACGCTGTCATTATACTTAGAAAAAGAAATGCAAACGTTTCTGTTAAAGATGATGGCACTGATGCTGATGTAGTTACCACTACCGATGCTTCTTTAAATGTAAATCTATTATTAAAAAAATGTCAAGTTTCTAGTGAAGTGAAAGCAGATGCAGATTTCGTTGATGTTGAGTCTGATGATTCAAAGGTTGAAATCGAAGTTAAACCTGATTTAAATAATGTCCAGGTTGATAGTAATACCAGTGTTGGGAAAAGCTGAACAAGTTAAAATTTTTATCTGTGTAAATTATTAAATAGAAATAAATTATAGACAATAATATATTTATATTCCTAAATATTTTTTTCTTGATATATTTATTTTTTTAAAAAAAGAGTATGTAGTACAATTATTGATATTCTCGATTTTTGATTGGATGAGTATTACTTCAATTAAAAAACTAAAAGCCTAAATCGTAAATTTTTTAAGATTATATATTTCAATCGACGTTCTTCCTGCTCGCATTGGTTTAACATATCATTTGCGTTCAACTATCACAACAATTACAACACTTGTTTTAATATAATGAAATTTATTTAATAGTCGAAAAAAACCGATAAGTCTCGATCCGTCTGTAACTACTGTAAGATCGTCAAATCTTAAATAAAAATATAATTAAAATATCTTTACCCTTGTAAATTTGGGATGTTTGATAATATTATAATAAGCTAACGTCTCGTTAATGATTATTACGAACTATAGCTTGCCTTGCTCTCGTTAATTTTTAAACAATGTAGCTTTGATTTTCAACACGAATTTGATTATTTCAGGTGCACGAATAATTTTACAAAATTATCACAAGGTTGCGAAGGTATAAATAAGTAACTTAAAAGAATGTTAATTTGAGCCTGTAAGTATTTGGAGCTAAGCCAATTCAAACGAAATAAAATCTTTTCTTTATCAAAACCAATTATTTTATTAATGTTGAAATCGAGTGACCAAAATATTTATCGGCACACATGTGACACAAATACTGTGACGCATATGGCACAGTAAGTTCGGAGTTTTCTTACAAAACAAGTAAATAAAATAATAAAGTAACACATGAAAGAGATTATTAAATATGGAAAACCTTATGGGCTTTGCCTCGCAACGATTACCTAAAAAAAAAGATTAAATCAATCCTTGAAACAAAATAATAAACAAATTAATTTTTGTAGATGAGGATTATCAATAAAAGACTTGAATTAAACTAATTCCTTTAATTATTTATGAACACCTTGATTAATTTCTTTTTTTTAATAGGTATTGTAATATTAAATATTTTAAATCTTTTAAAATTATGAAATTACGTGTAACAACAATCATTAATTTTGTTTTGATTCCAAAACTTGCTGGAATTTTCTTCATTATTAGCCACAAAAAGTATTCATTTAACAAAATTTGTAACACAGATTAATCACATGTCCTTATATCCCCGATTTAATTTCTTTGTCTCAAATCAACTTTCTTCGAAAATATTCCATAAAGAAAACCAATCAAATGTTCTTATCATGCACGAGGTTTCACCTTCTGTAAGATATAAAGTCAACCGTCAGAGGTGTTTAAATTCCAGAATCTAAATAACAACCATGGCACAAGACCCCCTCTACTTGGATATCAACAGCTTGGCCAGTCTTGCAGATCTCTTTCGGGTGGTTGAAGAGCCTGAATGTTCCAAAGTTCGATTTGCCGAAAATGTGAATCTCCGTAAATATATCGAAAAATCTTATAGGGGGAATATATTACCCTATAATAATTGGACACAACGCATGTTACGTTTGGAAGAAATTAAACTCCGGCTTCCTTCACTTACGAACGCGGGTGATGTCGATGACCTCGTTCAAAGGTTGAACAGCGCGAACACCTTTGATGAAGAGCAGAGTTATTCGGCTGGGATCATCATTCAATTGGTGACACGTTTGTTGACATTTTCTCTGCAGTTTCGGAGATCTCTCTCCGCTGTGCCCAAAGATCGTCTAACTTCGGCTCTATCTGCCGTATCGGATTACCACAGTGCCGTGTTAGACCTCTCGAATCCTTTCACAACTTTACCGTGGAAAGTACTTGAAAATGATTTCTTAGAGAAAGCTCAAAATATGTTACAATTGCCTTTCAATCCGTATGTATATTGATTTTTTTGTTGACGTATAATTCTTTCCTAAGGTGCTGCATAACTAATGTTTGAACGTTCGTTCTAAAATAAATAATGAAGGTACAGCGATCCATCGGGCGATATGAAAGCGTAATGTATCGAAAATAGATTTTGTCTATAGCTACAGCTTTTCTCACACGATTTCTCTCTTAAAACTATTGCAGTGTCATTTCCGGTGCATCTCCTTTTGTAGTCACAGGCGGCGCCATACAACCTTTGGACACTACCGTTAGCTTTGTTGAAAACCTTTATCGTCAAGCAGCCGGCCAATTCAAATCCTTTGACAAATCAGTTCATTCAGATGCTACCTTCACGCAATTTGGGTTTAAAGAATATGTACGACATAAAATCCCAATGAAACGGGTTATCAACGGGGCTTACATATGCTACGCAGATCCTTTGAACAAAACGTATTATTACACCACCCTCACATTCGACCCGTTCCGATTCAAGATGTTAAAGAACTTAATCATTTATGAGATCGTTTCCGGAAAAGCCGCATACATTCACAGTGCCTTGCACCTCTTCATGAGTATGTGCACGTGTGAAGAGGATTTCCGATTGATGATCGAATACGGTATCATTCAGTGGGGATTTCCAATGGAAGGGTATACAAGTTTTTGTGAAAAGATGAAAGAACTGCTGGATGTTATGTATTGTTGGAAATTTACAAATACGTGGACTTGGCACACGGAATTGGTCAAGATTGCTTTATTTAAGGATTCAAAGGGTGACACATCCGGATGGAATGATTTTGCAACCACCTGCTACACCGGAGGTTTGCTCAAAGCGGAAGTGACCGTTGCTTTATTCAAGAGCCTTTGTTAAAAACATAAAGGTAGTTAGATTTTGTTACGTTATTAAAATGATTCTGATATTTCGAGATGAACTCATTATACACTTTCTAAATCAATACAAACCGGGTTTTGTATTTTTTTTTTTCGCATTACATATTTTATTAGTCATCTAATTTTTTTTTTTTTAAAAAATATATAGAAAGTTTCGAAAGTGAATTAAATTAATCTTTGGTTTTTTTACTCTTTTTTTTTTGTATTTACCTTTTATTCTTGACAATGCCATTACATTCATATTCTTAAAAACAATAAACACGATAATTAACCAGAAATTAAAAATCACACATGAAATCTTAAAAATTACTTGCTCATTCAGTTCATAAATATCTAATTTTAACGTAAATTTTTAAATTTTTTTTTTTTTGCAATGAATCGTATGCGATACATTCTATGTTATGTACATATGACTTTCGAGTAAATAAAATTTCTCGTATATGCGTGCATGTCAAATATAATTTTTTTTTTCTTAATAAAGGATAGACTTCTTATAATTAAGATTTCAAACCAATTTTAAACATCTGTAGAATAAATAAATAATTCTGTTGTTGAAAGAGAAGGAAATTTTTAAAGCCAAGGCTTTACCGTTGCAATTTAATTTTCAACAATTGCGCATTTATTGAAAATTTACAAATTTGCAAATAAAGTTATATGATGTTTTGATCATAAGTGTATGCATTTTAAATTTCTTGTCTGAATAAAGAAATGGACAAAGTTTATTTTCAAATTAATAAAAGGAGGTATTCAAAAAGGCATTTTTAATGAGATTACTTTAAATTGATTCTAGGAATAATATAATGTTACAGTTCAAAATTATCCGGCCAATTTGTTTTGGCCAAAATTATGCAGATCATTACGTGCTAATAGCACATTTTTATTTATTTAAAATTATGATAAAACAAGTTCCAAATAAGTGGTTAGATCCTGTCTATTTAACTCGTGAACAAAGAGATAAGCCTTTATTTTAGAGATATCCGAATATTTTCACATATTGTTCAGATCAGATAGCTTTAAAATCTGAATATATTGTATCAGATATCCGGATAGACCATCCAAGGATCTAATAATACTTCATCATATTCCAGCACCACCTAATTAATATTAAAGAAAATTATGTTAAAAATGCATACCATCAGATTATTATAAAAATTGTTCAACAGTGTTCCCTGGAAAATTAAGGTGATTATTACCGCAAATGAAAATAGAATAAACTTTAATTATTTTTTTGTCATAAAGTCAATATAAATATATTTATTTAAAATTTATTTATTTGAAATGTGGTCGGATAATTTTGATTACCCTCTATATATAACACTTGTTGAATCTAGTGAAAAACTTCTATAATTTTTAAATGACAAGGGAATAGTGATTTTTCAATTTTATAATTAATGATTTGTCAAACATAAATCACTAATTCATTCTCAATGAGTTGCATTCATTGTTTTTTTTATTTGACTTCTTGTATGTTTTAATTAAATTAACATAATCTTGATAAAATCAAAGATACCTCTGCTCACACATCGTCACTATTTTTACACCTTAAGTTCGAAAGGACAACTTACCCAGAGGAAAGTTGACGACCAGTGCACAAATTTCCCGATGGCCAATTTGCCTAAAATAAAATATTATTAATAAATACAACCGTGCTCTTTTATTCCATTAACATCGTTAAAATATATTAGAATTACCTACATTTGAAGAATAAGTAAATTAAAAAAGTTTTTTAGATAATAATTTTAAATAAAATTTTTTTGGTATTATACGCAAAATCATTACGCAATAAAGTCAATTAGAACCAAAATCGAATCTTAAAATTGGAACTCGACCAATACTTAATCGTTACCGAGTGTAGCTTGTTTAAATTAGATCTGTCAATACTTTTTGCAGATTAGTGTATATTAATTTTGGTGAAAGAGAATGTGCCAATAGTAAAATGGGAATCTATTTCGTTTTTAATTTGAATTGATCGACGTTCGCTCAATTCGTTACATCGATCGTATTTAATAAATAACTAATTATTATTAATTATCTCCCATACGAAATCAGGAGTTAACACTATCAGAAAGTCTACTATTATTTGTGGGCTCAGCTCAGTAATTCATGTGATTAACGTGATATTTTACGAACATTACGGCTTCTGAGCCTATTTAAATCACTGCCTAGTGAACATTCTGTAAAGTATTAATAATTTTCTGTAATTATAAACACCCGTACTTTATTCACATCGCTCATCATGACCCGTTATTGATGTCTGTACTTGCTAGTGCGAAGCCCCGCTTAAAGTCAACTTTTTGACCTCTATAAAGCCAGAGGTTACACCATTTTTACATGATTCAATTACATAGTCAAAGTTTCCTCATTGAATTTTTCTCTCGAGTTATTTCTCTGGTACAGTGTTAATTTGACTTTAAATGGAAAAGATGAAGTGGCCGGAAAGCGTAGGAATTAATACTTTTTGTGGCCTCATAAATAATTCAATGGGGTTTTGTAATGCGGGATTCCAATTCGTCAAAAAGTTTACACAATGCTTCTTATTGCACAACCAATGTGTACATCAGCTGGTCTTAGTGTATATTATTATGAGTTTGCGTCTCCTTCCAAACATCTATCGACTTGTATATATTTATTGAGTTAGTCAACTCGCAAGCAATCAAGTCAATAATTTGAAACGTATTGTTCGAACTGTTTAGTTAATAAACTCATGCTTAAAGAAAATTTTAAAAGTCATTAGTTAAAATTAAATTATATTAAAATTTATGGCTGGACTGTATAGTTGGAATTACGGGACGGGATGAAATAGTTGATAAATGATAGTTATCTAAAGTTTTAACGAGATTTGCAATTTTATAACATTTTCACCATATGAAATTTTACCTTGATAAAAATTTACTTTATTCAATGGTTATTGATAGTTTTTAGAGAATTATTTCGTATAAATTCTTTAAAAAATATTTTAAAATGGTCAATTTTGTATGAGTATGCAATAAGGAAGGAGTGAATGTTTATAAGATTCAATTCATGATGATGTTCCACATATTTTATTATGAGATGACAAGGTTCAAAATTTCTAAAATTTTAATGACGGCCTAATTTGTATGCATGACATTTCGTACGAAAATATAATTTTATTTTGATTGGTTTCTCGAATATAATCTAGTTTATGAACTGGTTCGGAGAGGTGCTCCTTTAATATAACTTCCATTGATGAATGAGAAAAAAAAAGACGGAATTTCGTTTATGGTAATGTAATATGGTACTGTCGATCCAAAATTAAGTTATAAAATGCTGTTCTTGAGAATCATTTTCTTCAAATAAAATCAATTCGATAAAATACATTTTTAAAATGTCTTCAGGACAAACTTATACAGATAAGGATGCCTTTTTCGTTGATTCATTCGACAATATTAAAATTGAAGTCTTACATTATCCTCCCGCTAATATAATATCTGTAAGAATTAATAAGTTTAGTTCTAACGTTCGTTATATAAATAATTGTAATTATTTTAATAAATTGTTTTTTATAGAATTATCCACCAATTATATTCATTCATGGAGCAGCTATCGCGGCTTGGGCTTGGGATAATTTTTGTCGCTTGTTCTCAAATAAAGGACATGATTGTTACGCTATGAGGTAAATAAATTGTCACGAAACAATGAAGTAATTGAAATCTTAAATTTATTACAATGATATTTTATCTCAGTTTTCGAGGGCATGGACAAAGTACGAAGACTCCAAAAAAGGATAAATGGTGGTCATTAAATGTAATTACAAATGATGTATCAGCCGTAACTGATGCAATAATTGCTCGGACCGGATATAAACCTGTTCTCGTTGGGTAAGTATTAACAAAATAATCTTCATCAAAATATTTTAAATTGACATTTGATTTACTTTCATTTTTGCTACTAGTCATTCACTTGGAGGTGGTGTTGTTCAAAATTATCTTAAAGATAATCAGCAGAAGGTGGCGGGAGGAGTTTTAATTGCATCATTTTCACCGTACAGCTACAGGATAGGCACTTTCAAATTCACTCTTAACAGTTTCAAATGCTCCAATTCTTGCTGTCCTTAAAGCGATTTTTACATTAGAACCGTATGCAATAATTGAAAGTCCTAAATATGTGAAGAGAGCTACCCTTTCTAAAGCATTCCCTGATTCTATGACCAGAAAACTTCAACCAAAGCTTGAGAAGGCTAGTTTTGTCACTGGAATGTTTGAACTTCTTAAGCCTTTTGTTGATCCTTCAATAATTAAATGTCCTATGATTGTGATTGGCGCCGAAGAAGATAAAATATTTGATATAAAAGGTATAAGTATAAAAGAAACTGCTGAAGCTTATGGTGTTGAGTTTGATATTATTGGTGCTGCTTCACACAGTATTATGCTGGACCTTACATGGGAGGATGCTGCCGATGTTATTTTTAATAGGATCCAAGAAAAAATTGTAAAGATATAATTATTTTAATAAATTAACTCATGTTTGCATATTTAATTTTATAAATTCTTTTTTTTTTCCGAAATTTTCACAAAATCGTGTCAATTAGAATCGTTACTGCGCCATTTGTATTGTTAATTATTTCTCTATTAATTTGAAGTTATTAAAAGAATAAAAAATTTAATCATATAATATTCAATAACTAAACGTCCAAAATTTCGCGAGCGCAGCCTCAGTTTTGCAATTACGCTTTGTTTAAATTTATTTATTTATTTATTTTTTTTTTTTGAAAAACAGCTTTTCTAAAATTATACGTATTTTGAAATAATAAATCTTAAAAAGAGTCATGGCAAGAAATATCGATAAAAGAAAAAACAAATTGCAATTCTTTTGAAATTTTTTTTTTTTAGAAAAATGCGCTGCGGAATTTCAATGCGCACCATGATCCGCGAGAAATTTATTAATTATTCAAATATTAATAAAAATAAAACTTATGAAAATCGACTATCTTGAAGCGTAATGGCAATTCATTATCAAAATGACAATTTGTTTTTTTTCGCGCTGAGATAAATAATAATAACTGGATTATATTTATTATTTACATAAATAGGTTTATAAATCAAATGAATTATTTACTTATTCGTAAATTAATGTGATATCTCTCATTCATTTCAAATATAGAAATTTATAAAATCATTTTCCTTTTAATAAAATGTATTTTGATGGAAATGGTGAATAAAAAGAACGATTTGTTTAAATATCAAATTATTTATCAAAAGAAATCAATTCGCTCATCTAAGAAAATGGGAGGTTATCCCGATTGAATTAAACTTGTTAAGATAATATAAGACAATATCGATAAGTTTATATAAAGAAGAAATAAGGCTCGTCTGAAAAATCATTGAGTTCTGATACGAATGAAATTATTTCGGCTGGATTAATAATGTTTTAAAACTTATATGGGCGCTTTGCAGTATAAAGGGTAGAAACTACAAAACTATAAATTTTATATACTAAATATGATTTTTTTAAGTCCATCTCGATATTTAAAAAAAAAAAGTAATTAAAAAATCGTGAGACGACTAACTAATATGCGTACAAATTTGGTTGTTGATTGGTAAATGAAGCTAGGGATTGATAGAAACTTGGCCTTCGCTGATTGGTCTGTAATCATAGCAAAGTTATCAGCAAACATTTTTAAAGATAATACAAACATTAGTTGGTGAAGTTAGACATATTATCATTTTTTATGGGTAGATTTTCTATTTTTTTTTGGTAACACAGTTTTATTTTAATAAATTAGGCTATAAATTAATACTTATATGGTAAGACTTTTTTATCTTGTCAAAAAAATCTTATAAATAACCCTAAAAATTCTAAAAATCGACTTGAAAACTTTCAGAGAAAAAGGAATTATATAATGCCCAATTCAACTGAAAATCCCACCATAAATTATTTTAAAAATCTTATTCTAAATTCTTTAATAAAGGATGGGTTCATAAACAAACCGATAAGTTCGGAAAACTTTTTTATAAAACATAAAAAATCGTTGATGACAAGCACTGCAGTTGTTGCTGGTGCTGTTTTGGGTCCTATTGCAATTAGTGGAGTCGTAGCAGCATTAGGAATTGGTGAAGCTGGTTTTGTTGCTGGATCTATTGCAGCATCGATGTCATTACCTATTGGAGCTGCTGCGTATGCTGCTGGTAAGCTTGTATTTTTTTTAAGATGGGACTTTAGCCTTTTTTAAAGCAAATCTAATAATATCAGAATCGAATCCTGAAGGATTAAAAGAATTGGAAAATTATGTTTCCATTAAAAATGAAGATAAAGATAGTAAAGATGGCTGTTTGCATGTAAAAGTGATTTTTGAAATGAAGCATCAGCTTCTTGATAGTAATATGAATGATAAATTAAAATCATTTCTTCGAGGGTTTGAATTAGCTCGGCAAGTACTCAAAGACACCATCAAGAATTTCGAATTCTTGGTAAATATAGATGATGAAAAATGTCTTGAAGGTTCCAATTTTTTGCATAAACTTTTGATGGTTACCTACGGAAATGAACACGTCACTTTGGAACAGAAAACTTACTTTCTAAAAAAGGATTATATTTTTTTTTCAAGGGGAATTGTTGATATCATCCTCCTTCTTTAAATTATGTATATTTATTGTCAATTTTGTTTTAAAGGTTTCTATTTTATATTAAATAAATGAAAATATATTTAATGTTAAATTATAAATATAATGATAAACTTAACTAATATTTCGGTGATTAATTTTTATACCAACTAGTACCAAAATGTTGAAGATGAGATAACAGATAAAAAAAATATGATAGATCAATAAAATCTGAAAACATAACATTGACGATTGTCAATGAATATTTTCATGTATAATAATCGAAACAGGATTTTGTACTTTCATATATAAGAAATTCATGAAGTTATTTTGCTAAGAAAATTTTGTTTTATACTTTCTTATGAAATTTACTTGCACTAATTTATTAATTTTTTTTTTTAAAAAAAAGAGAATTCTCTTTCTTCTTCATCGAAATTATTTGTTGATATGTAAATGAATTAATTGGTTTACAAATTTAAGGATGAAATGGTAAAACATAATCAAGGTTTGTATAGTTCCATTTAAGCAGCGCGTCGATTTTACTTCAAATATTTCGCTATGTATAATCATTATCATCTAGTTTTTAATGCCTTAAAGATCTCGAACATACAAGTAAGTTCAAGAAACTTTGAACACTTCGTATGATTAAAGGTAGTTATTTAAGGCGGTATCATAAATAAGCTGAACACAATAAAGAATGTTGATAAAGACATGAAAATCAAAGCTTTGCTATAGTTGCGGGCAAATCACATTTAACAAATGGCTTAAGTCGAAAACCTTTATTGAATTATTATAGTTTCGACTATAATATATTCGACATTACCATCGCAGTCCCAAACTTTCATATTATGGCAATTTTACTATTATGATCAAAATTAAAAACGGGTACTAATATAATTCATCTATCTATAACGTTATTCGTTCTAGTCCGAATCTCTAATGCCTAAATCTCAAGATTTTGCGATAATTCTGATCTCTCGCTCCTACCTAATTTTTTTTGATTTCGAAGAAAGGGTAGGTCTACATACATCATTACATTAGTTAAAAAGCTATGGATGATCTATATTACCGAAATTCATTCATACCTCGTGAGGTTTAATTCCAGGGTTATAGGTTAATGCTTTGTCACGTATCGATTACTTTATCCTATTAACAAGGCTTACATTCTGAAAATCTCATGGTGGATTAATTTTATTATTTATTAAGAAAGAACATTTAAATAAATAAAATTTTTTTATTTTGGAACATAATTTTACAAAAGGCTTAGATTAATACTCTACTAATATAAATAACCATAGAAATTCCAGAATTACCAAAGTAGATCAAATTCCCGTTGTAGATATTTTTAAAAGAAGTGTTTTTAATTCTTTAATGAAGGATGAGTTTATACATGGAAAGATTTTTCAATAAAAATATAGTCTTTGGTGATAGGTAGCAAGCAGTGTTGTCATGGGACGCGGACACGGGCCGGGCCGGACCGGACTGTCCGTGTCCATGTCCGAGATTTTTTTTTATGTCCGGGACTTTTAGTCCGCATTAATGCTGGCCATATCACTTGTTAATTCTGGCCAAAAGATATATATCGGTCCATGTCCCAACTGTCTTGCGAACACAGTCTCGGACATGGACTTTCGGACGTCCCGTGTCCGCCAAAATCACCGGTACAACCGAACGTGTACATCACTGGGTAGCAAGCATTAGAAGGATATGATGGTAGCATATTTTTGCTAGCGTAATCTCTAAAGCAATATAAAATTTTAGAAACAAATGAAGAATTTGTAAAATTGGATAATTTTGTTTCAATTAAAATGAAATTGAAAAAAATAACTTGCATTCTAAAGTGATTTTTAACATAAAGCATTAGTCTAGGAAATGAAAAATTTAAATCATTTCTTGGAGGGTTTGAATTGGCTCGACAAGATACCAAAGACTTAATCTGGAATTTTGAGTTCTTGGTTAATAGATATGAAGAAAAAATGCCTTAAAAGTTTCAATTATTTGCATAAACTTTTGATTGTTATCTACGGAAATGAAAAATATTATCTGAACGTATCCGGACGTTTGACCGAAAGCCATTTGACCGAATCTATTTGCCACCGAATTAAAATTGTTATTTATATTATGTATACGAGTGACAAATAGTTTTTGGTCAAATGGCTTTCGGTCAAACGTCCGGATACGAATACCACTTTATGAACTGGTAATCAACCGATACCGATAACGCACACTCCTTTATGTTTGTTGAGATTCTTTCTCTTATAGAAAAAATACTTTAAAAATTAAATCAGATCTTCCATTATTATGTAATTGGTACATTTGTTTATTATAAAGAGCATTTGATATAACAAATTTAAAACTTTGGAACTAAATTATAATCATTTCTATTTATCATTATTATATCAATAATTAATCTACTTGTCCCCTATTTTTTTTTCTTTTAACCAAATACAGGAGGACCAGATTTACAAACGTTTGTTTGTTTATCACAATCCGCACCAGAGAAACTTCTATCTCCACCATTGAATTTGTTAAAACAAAGGTTATGTTGAATGTCACATTGACGGTTTTGTGCGGCATTTACGTCACCATTAAATTTATTTCCATTGACAACGAAATCGCCGTCTACTTTTTGAATCTTTGGCATTTTAACACCTCCAACAGGATGGGTTTCTGCGTAATTTTCACCTTTTCCTTTATCAGAGCCTTTACCTGGTGTTTTACCTTTTCCAGTAGGATCTTGAGCTTGAACCAATCCATAAAGTTCTTTATGTCTTGGTTGTTTTTTACAGAGTGCAGATGGTTGACCGGCTTTTGGAGTATTACGTTCAAGTTGGCGATATATTTTAGCAACTTTAATAAGTTGTTTCTCTTTTTTACCACCAAGTTCATAAGCCAAGTCAATTACTTCATCAGCTCTATTTTGCTGATCGCAAGTCGGTGCTTTTGCTAAAAGGGCTCTCACCATTGCACCTGATAAATTACCGGCTTGTTCTTCCTTATTGGTACCTTTAGCAATATCCTTTATATCTTTAAAGGTACCATCAGCTTTTGGGGTATGTTCTTGTCCAAAACGTCTTTTTGAAAGTATCATAGGAGCTGATTGAGTAGTAGCGACAAGTGCCAAAGTAACTGCGAAAATAAGTGCGAACTTCATATTGATTTAAGGATGAAATTGGAAATATGATAAGTAATGAAGGAGCACAGCTCACTTATAGAATGATTAATTTTTAAAATCTTTATCCTGCTTGCGGGATATATGAAAATTTGATTGAAGGAATTTAAGAGATATTTATACAATTCGAAATCGTTCACACTTTGAAACTGTTGGGGAATTGAAACATTATTCTAACTTGATTTTAATTTTTGATCGTATGATATTTCTTTCTCCTGGTCTTAATTATTATCGATTCTTTTCGGTTGATTTCCCTTATATCACATTTCCTTATTTGGCATGTTTTGCGTTTCTCAATCCAAAGGAAGAAAGACTTTGCAAACAAATTTTCTTACGAATGCATAAGTAATTTGTTCGTAACAAATAAACGATTACTCAAAAAAAAAAATTCGAAAATAGAAATGTTCCCAACGCAACTAATTGTCTTCCTGAGATTGTACACAAATTGAAAACCCGCTATGCGTTAAAAATGAAACAAAATAGTTCACTATTTTAATAAAAAACATTTTGAATAAATTTAAGATTTTATCGTTATTGTATTATCAAAAACTTCTAAATTTTGTTAGAAAATTGACGAACCTGAATTGCTATAACAATGAAGGTCCATCAAAAACGATGTTTTTGGTAATACAGTTTTAATCTAGAGAATGTATTGAAACTTAATTAGTTTTTAAGTAATTGAAATGTTAAAAATCATCAGCTTTAATTTGACGTTACATTCAATTTCAATTAATATATTAATAATAAGACATAATTAATACATAAAATAAAATTCACATGAACATAATTAAACCCGAAACCGTTTATCTGTTTGATGGGCAAAAAAGTAGATTTGTGTAAATATATCTTCAAACCCATTTTTTTAACCAATAATTGGACACTTATTCTCGTTCTAAATTAAGCGATCATTTAAAAAATTGAAATTAAAAGCTTATTTTGAAGATATCATAGGATCAAAAATAATTGGCAATGAGAAAAATTTTGTTAATGTTAACGTTAACGCTAGGTTTTCGTATCGTTTCCTTTCGAATAACGAATAAATATATTCACCGACCTTCCACTTTAGGCTTTATGAAATATTTAGAAATATATTTTACTTTTAAAATTTCAATCAAATGTCAATATATAAATTAACTGAAATTTAATAAAAAGTTCATTTTTATCTAAAATTATACTTGCAGATATTATTGGTTCGTATTACGCTTAGCGTTGGAAATGTCCTAAAAAAATTATTAGTTTAGATTTATTTTTTAAATATTATCATTATAATTAATTTTTTAATTATAGTTACTTATTAAATAAGATTAAAATTTCTTTTTAAATTTTATAATATTAGATTTAGGATTTAAGTATATTTCTAATTTTTAAAGTATTTTTTTTTATTTTATATTAATAAAAGAATTTATTTATAATAATAATTAAAAAGATAAATTTATTATTAAATAATTTAATAAACAGTATATAAATAAAAATTATCTTTGAATTCATTAAGACCATAAATTAACGAATAAATGTTCCGCTGAACCTTTCATTAAAATTGCAATCTAAAGCTTCGTAAGGATGACATTGATCCGGAAAACTCTCCTTAAATTTCGTCCTCGTAAAATTAAATTTAAAACCTTTTTGTCTTTTAGGTGAACGTCCTTGTGCTGGAAGATATTTTTCATTTGGATCAAGAAATATGATATGATCCTTTGTAATAGAAAGAATAAAAATAGGAAACTGCCAGAAAAATAAAAAATGAGATAATTCTAAATTTCGGCCTGAAAATCATATTTAGCATATAAATGTAAAATTGATTTTACCCGGCAGTTTCCCCTTTCTATTGTATATTCTCATTACGATGCTTGATAAATCTGTAATAAGCACAAATGAATCCTATTCTAGTCTCATTTTCATTTTTATCACGAGATTTTCCTCCAATTCCAAAGCATTAATTTCCTCACCAGAAAATACAGTATCCAAATCGCAGACCTTGCCAACCATCCATTTCTTTTGTAAGTAAAGTCATTCTAGACAGATCATGCTAGAATTTCGTTCTTTCATCCACTATTACTGAAAACTTTGTAGCTTTAGCATCATACACATTCTACATTAAAAAGATTATTAAGAATTATTTTGCATTGAGAGTAAAATATAGTAACAGTAGGTTTATTACTTACTTCTTTAAAAAATTATATTAGAGAATAATCCTAATGATATTCATACAGGTTTAACATGTTACAAGATAAAATCTAAGGATTAACAATACGTTCTGAATTAAAATGTTACCTTTATAATTCGGGTAGTTAATAATTCATCTTGCTTAAAAGGATCCCAACCACCTAGCAAATTGAATAATCTGATAGTATATAAAATAAGAATATTAGAAAATGATTAATACTATATTGTTCCTATTATAGTTGGAATTCCTAGTTCATCAGCAACATGCCGGGTTAATTCTTTCTCCAATGTCATTAAATTGAGTTTTATCTAGTTTCACAAGTATACTTTCAGTGCTTGGCACTAATAGTTCACTCAAATCATCCGGATAATTTCTCAACTCCTAGTATCCTTTTGTATTTGGGAAATTCGATTAAGGATCTGAACGACATGATTTATTTTGTCATCTGATACTGTAGCCTTTCTTCTATCATATTTTTTATAATTAAAATCACTTCCTAACGCCAATTTCTTTACGAACTCATTGCTTTTAAATAAAGGTTTAAATATATTTACGTAACTTATAGGAAGTTCTACAATTAAAGAATGATTATCCTTAAATTCAATTGGAAATGATAGACAAATTTATCAGCCGAATAAAATGCTTCATGCAAAAAAATGCTTCGTTATGCAAAATCCAAGGTCTTCCTTCATAATTTCAAATACTTCCTTGTCATCTTTTGAAAAGTTTTATTCATATATTCGTACATCGTGTTATAATTTTTTTCAAATTCTTAGGTTTTTTCCCATCATGAACTATATCATCTGGATAAGTATACCATCCTATTTGCCTCAGAAAATCATTATTTTTAACATTATAATTCAGTATTGGTGCAACTAAACAAACTAGGGATTTATATTCTTTATAATAACAATCACGAAATTTCGAAAAGATTTGGTTTCCAGATCCGTCAATAGGAACCCATTCTTCACTTAGAATAGTATTTATTAATTCAGGATTTTTATTTTTAATTAAATCGATTTTGTCTTGAGATATTGAAAATGAATCAAGAATAGTAATATTTCCGCTTTATTTTAAGATCTCTTTATATGATAATATTTTGAAATAATTTCATTATATTAAAATAATTTATTCTTAGATTGCAGAATATGCTAGTTCGTTTGATTGATAATGTAATAAAGGTGATATTAAAATTTTATTATAATTTTCGTTTAATTTTTCGTTAAATTTCAGAAAAAAAACCATACACGCTCGTTTAACTTTTGAAAACCAATATAATTTTCTGAGGAAATAACATGTGTAATATTCTACATATCATATACACCAGGAAATCTTCGTAATGTCTTCCTAATCGTCTTCAAAAAGTTATTATTCAATTATTATGATAATACGAAAATTCAGTAAATATAAATTGCTAATTTCATCATCAACCCACAAACTTAAATTATATAAACGTAAAAAACAAACTACAACTTTAAATGGAGAAATATGAATTGGAAAATGTATACCTTTGACGAGCAATAATCTAGTTTCCGTTTTTCCATATTAAATAGAGTAAAGTTTCTAAATTTCAGACTTCTTCACATGAAAAAAGGCGTTGTCTTACTTATATAAAAGTATATGATAAATAATAAAAATTTGTCGGATTAGAAATAAAATGAAGAAATAAAGAAAAAAAATAAAATCAAAATCAATAGATTAATAGATTAATAACTTTACCTTCGTTGCTTTCAACTTGATCCTGGTCAGGAACATGCATCACCTATAAATTTAAAATAATATATGAGTGCGTAAATTGCTTGCCAAAAAATACAGTAATCCAGAAAAGATGCCATACGTAGTTTAGTATTCATCAAGTATAGAACAATGATGAATAAATCATCTGAATTACAATCAAATTCGCGGCTGCACAATTATTGATATCTGCAAGAGAAGAAAATATATTCTCATTTTCTTTTGATGACCTGTATAATCTTTTGAAAGAGATCTTTTTGTTGCATCTTTATTTTGATGTCCCTCTCTCTTTACTGTAACTGTAAAAAAATTTTGTATATGACAAAAAAACCTTCGTTAATGGGAGCATTTCCTATAAACAGTGCTGTAATTTCACTGATAGTTTTTATAAAGTGCTGTTGGATTTCAAATGGGAGGGTTTTTAGCATAATTATAATGCTAGAAAAACAATAAACTCATAAATTTCATTTAATATTTCAAGATTAATATTTTTTGTTTGTGATTCCACACTTCGAAATGTATTTCTGGATAATATTATTGTTTGGCTAGTGTTGACAGTTATTTGAGTTATTTAAATTATATGTGTAAAAAGACGCGTACATTTAGGACCATCTTTTTTTAACGCGCGCCTTTAAAATTTTAAAATCCAAACTTTAAAACTGCAAAATTGCAAAGTTATTAAAGTTATTGAGTCTAATTGTTGATAAAAAGGGTTTGTATCTCTATACGAAATTTCGATCACGGGATAATTAAAAAAAAAAATTTTTTGGAAAGGGTACAGCAAGTACTCGAACTCAAGACATGTTTACTGAGATACTCTTATATTATAAGCAACATGCCCAGAGCTGTTACCACTATACTAATTCAACTTATTTATTAATTTACATAATAATTTAAATAATTTAAATTAAATTGCATGAAACATGTGATTTTATTGCCATATGTAGCTAAAAAAAATCGAACATTATTCATGTGAGACGTGGCCAAGAAAAGATCAAGCAATTTTTATTGAAAAAATAAGCCATTAATAAATTTTATCTTATAATTTAATTTTATAAATACACGTCAGAATTTGTTTCGATTTCATATTTTACAATTTTGATATTTCTTTATTTAGATACACTTAAATGAAAATTATGTAATTGAATAGGATTATGGCTGTTGTCAGTGTTTTCTTGGTCTACTCATCTCATATCATTCTTTATATTTTTTTTCCAAAAATATCTCAATACATTTTTTTGACCGTGAATAGTAAATAAATAAAAAAGGTTTGACTTTGATTTTCGATTTTTTTTTTTTTTATACATCACATTATTCGAAACATTCATATAGTTAACAATTTTATTGGTTTAATAGAATTTTACGTGTTACATTTCAAAGATTACAATCGCCAACATGGATGAAATTTAATGATCATTTCCAGAATCTATCTGTATGTATTGCCACGTAAGAATTTATTTGGAGAAAAAATATTTATTTAAAACAAACTTATGGACATTATTTATTAACTGCAATACCCAAATGTGCATTCATTATTATCTACAAACAAAAAAATTGAACACGTAAAAGAAGTCATTCAAAAATTCTCCGTGTAAAAAAAATAATTATAAATATGTGATGGGTCACTGAATTTCGTTTTATGTGACGCAGTGTGATATAATATTATATAGTCACATGACCTGAGCTTTTTTCATTGGTGATGCTGGAAAAATAAAAAAAAACTTTACGTATATCACATGATATGGCCGTAAGGGAATTCTTCTCTGCATATTTTTATTCAGTCATGCTAAATAGCTCATTATATTACAGAACTACTAAAGAGACACGAATAAGTTTGAAGGTTCATTGTTTCGCAACGTCAAATAATTTAAGTATGGTAGCAATTTTGGCGAGCTGACATTTCTATCACAGATAGATAAGAAACATGCAACGCAAGCTGTCTCTCACCTTATTATTGTTCTTTATAATATTATTATTACCAACAAATTTTAAATTTTGCATTTTTTTTTGTTGGCCGCGGTATAGCAAAATTTTCCACATAAATTCAAAGTTCTAGTATTGCGAATTAAGTTGATTGATGATTGAATTATAGAATTTCTAAATGCTGTTTAAATCATGTCATTATCAAAAAAACTATAGCTGTTGGTAATTCATTCCTGGAAGAAGAAAAAAATTAGGAATTATCAGTAATAATGTACATCAAAGAAAATTGATCCAATTTCCTATCAAACTGATCAAATTTCCTGCTACGAATAAATGAACAGGACTATGCATTCGTATACGTATACTTCACCTTTACAGTATATAAACGATATAAATTCTTGTTTCTGTATCTAACTTGCGGAAGTCTTCAAGTGATACGGCACTTAAAGCTACAATTTTTCTTTTCATTGATTTTTTTTCAGCTTTACCCTCTTTCGTTGTATTCTCTTTTATGATATCCTGCTCTATATTTTTAGCAAGCTATTCCTTGTCAACATAAACCTTTTTTTTACGTTAATATGCATTGGGAGAAAATTTTTCGATCAAAAGTGATTATGAGAGTTTATATCAATCACTATTGTGTAGCACGTGATAATGCGTCATTTATAAGCTGCGAAAATTTCTCACAAAGAAGAAATTAAAAAATATAATACTGTTGAACTTTTCGAACCAGTACTTACTCAAGAAGAGCGTGAACATCATGAAACAAATATGGGACCTGCGACGAGACTTGCAGACTTCGTATGGAGAAAAAATTGAGGGCCTTCGCCTTGTACAAGAATTTGGAGAAAGTGTTAGCAAGATATGGATGGCATTGACTCTAATGGCACCATCCCACTAATTTCTCTACTAAGCTCACGATATTCAAGACTCCGACGAGCACTTCGAGCATTACATGACGGATATTTAAGTCAGGTTAAAAAATCTCGTGACATTGGTTGTGGAAAGCTTGGAAGCCATGCCCAACGAGTATCTTGTAGCAATTCTTCATACCGTGATATATATAACAAGAGATGCTATAGGGAAAGACAAGAACTCAGCATGAGGCCATTTGGTTATCCCTCAGAATATAAAAAATATTCTGCCTTGCCTTGTTTTCGGAGTTGCTTTATCTTTTGAAGAAGATAAATGGCGCAGCTTATTCAACAATGATGGGGGCTTTCATTGTAGTGAAGATGATTGGAACATATATGAATGTACCTAGGTTAAAATGATCATTACATTACCTTTTTTTTAATAATCACTTTTGTTTAATTATTCTTATAATTAAAGTTTTATGCGGGCATGTACGGTCGCACAAAATTTTAAGATTCGTGAAAGCGAGGCGCAGTAATTCCGCATTTTTTTTAATACCCCTAGAGCTGTGATATATTATTTTTTTTACTAGATGAGATGAGTTCTGAGCTAAAGATCAGAAAATGTGTGGTACAAGCCATTTGTTTCACGCCTGCCGTCTTTCCATAAAATGACCCATTACATACTTTTTTTAAATTTTTTTAAAATTTGATTAAAGTATGTATGTATACATAATGAATTCCTCTTTATGACCAAATGAAGGAAAGACGGAAATGAGGTAATGTTTGGGTTAGCCTTGGATAGTTACTCAAGCTAAAATTTTGCTCACCACATTGTGGCCGTGACGGGTGAATGTGGCATATGTTCATCTTGAACTTAATTAGGTCATACCCCGCGAAGTGCGTGTTTAGCCACCTTTGATGTGAACCCGAACCTTTTTTCTAGTAAAATTTGATCATTAAATCAATTATGATAAATTTCCTTTTAATCAATGTGGTTTCATTCACATAATAACATAACATAGCCCATAGGCTATGAAATAATTTTACTAGGCCACCATTTTGATCATTTTGATCTTTTTTTTTTCGCGTTTCTATTTTTTCTGAGTAAAAAAAAAATTATGGAGATAAATATAAAGTCATAAATAGAGCGTCCGAATTATTTTGATTTTGATTTGTGAAATAATAAGTAATCATGGCAAAAATAATGAAACTCTTTTTAATTTTCGTGTTGGTTATATCATTAGTTGAATCGACCTTGATTCCACGTCAAACGGAGAACGGTGATGCATGTGCGAGAATAAGTGTTGATTATAAAAAATCTAAAGGGGATCCAAGTTTTAGCGCAAAATATTCTGACGTGAAAGAATGCTTAGATTCGATTCCTTATAACAGAGAATTAGCCGAAAAAGTAAATTCTAGATTCTGACATATTTTAACACGTTCGTGTTAATACATCATTTTAATACATATATGGACTTTGCCAGATAATCGAAAATGTGAAGAAGACGCTTCAAGGGTTTTACGTGTTTCTTTCGCAAGCCAAAGAGGAACCTCAACCAGGGTTTTCGTTTAAGGCAGTTGATTTGATTAAAGAGCTAGATGCACTATTATTAAAGGACTATACGTCGGATTATCGATTCATGGTAATACAATCCTCGTTTTTTCTTTTTTTATATATATATATATAAAGAAAAATTTAATCAAACTCTTTTTTAAAATCATTCCAGACAGATATAAACAATCTGTTTTCAGAACTAAAAGATGCACATCTAAATTTTATATCACTTTGTTACAATCATTTCATTTTTAAACAACAACTTTATTTATATTCAGTAATAAATAAAGATGACATACAGATAATCAAAATCTTTGATGATGAAATCGATCATAGTACGGTCGATTGTGAAGTGACACACATAGATGGAAGACCTTCGATGGAAGTTATTAAAGAATTTGCGGATACCATTAATAAATCAAAAGATGCGGGTGCGAGATTTAATATAGCATTGACAGCATTGAAAATTAATGAGAATGGCGGTCACAATATAAGTTCAAGTAAATTCACAATTAGAAATTCTCTTCCAGAGAAATCATCAATAGATTATTCTCTCGTATGTGCGAATGGTACAAAAACTAATTTCACAAGGAAATGGAAGATTGAATCGAAATTTTATAACATATTTAATTCCACCGACGATTATTGGAATAAATTATGTATATTAAATGAAGCTAATGATAAGATTATTCATAAGAATAATCATAACGATAAATTTGATAAAATCATCTTTAATCCGATACCCAATAATCAACCTAATCAACCAATGAATGAGATCGAATTAGTTTATAATTCATTAACGGCCACATTTTTTATATTGAGCGATAATAAGACGGGAGTAGTGGTTATCCCAAATGTCATGCCTTCGGATTCAGATTTTGTTAATCAAATGTTTGAATTACAAAAAGGATTCAAATTATTAGAAGATAAAGGAGTGCAAAAAGTAAGTGTCGCATAATGTGTGTATGTATGTATTTAAATTATTTTGTTCCCTTTTTCTTATTTTCTCTCACACTTTCAAATAGCTCATATTTGACTTTAATGAAAATGGAGGTGGATATGTGGATTTAGCATTATTTTTTGTTTTTTTATTATTCCCAAATTCAAGTCCATCGTTCCACAATGATATGGTGGTTAGCGAATTATCACGCGCATTATTCGACGCGGCAACATCACGATCCATACATGAAAATTCTATCGATACAACAGTTATTACACCTCCACCAAGTTTCAGCATTGAAAGTTTGACAAGATGGGCTGTTGATACAGCAAATGAAGTAACTGACTCATCCTCAAATTTTGACATATTCGCTTTTAAAGACCCATTGGCGGATCGTCATTTTCACACAGTCGAAGAATTTATTGGAAATAATACATTTGTAAGAGGTGGAACTCCTACTCGATATACAACAAAATTTGTAGATAGACACTCGCAAAAAATCAATATATTAACTAAATTGTTGGCAGGAAATTTCAAAGAATATAAATGGATGAGTGAGGATATGATTATACTAACAAATGGGAATTGTGGTTCATCATGTTCATTAATTACACAACGAATGGCGGAAATGTTCAACGTTAAAACGGTTGGGGTTGGTGGTTATAAAGATACGCCTTTATCTTACGCCTCATTTCCAGGTGGTATGGTTTATTTAGATCATGCGTTAAATATAGAGTTGGAAGGATTAGAGTTGTTTAAAAATGAAACGTTAAAAGATTCATTACCTTCTCCATTTAATAATACAGTTATCATGAGTTTTACTTTAAGGGAGGTTTACGACGTTAATGATGATCGTGTGTTAGAATTTACTTATAAACCTGCTAAATATCGATTATATTATGATGAACAAAGTGCAAGAGATCCTAGTAAATTATGGTTAAAAGTAGCTAAGATTTTCGAACAATAGAGATAATTAATTATTATTTTTTTTTTAAAAAAAATATTGTTAATGTGATCGACGCAACAACATCTCAACGGGACTAAGCATATATATTGTTTGTCTTACCTATGGATTTCAACCGTTTCAGGTCATATCATATCTTGACTGACTATACACAGTTTAAATTTTATTTTATTTTATTTTATTTTTTTACTTCAAAGGTATAGAAAATAAATTGTAATTTGTGACAAAAATTTATTATAATGATGCCATCATGTTCGAAACAAAAAAAAAAATATATATCCAAATTTTTAAAAATAATTATATGATCACATAAAGTGATGGAATTTGCATTCGTACCGGCAATTAACATTTATTTTATTTTCGAGTATTAACAAAAATGTGATGGTACTTAATAATAAAATATGGTGGTGTTTTTTATTTCCGGGGAGTGCGAATATTCGGAGGAATACGGTATTCCATGAGTTATATGAAATATTTCTTCCTTGCTCCGAAACTATCGATTCAGACTTGATAAATAAATGCGCTATAACATTAAAAACATTAAAAACCTTTTAGTTAGACGACATGTATCATGGGAACAAGTAATCATATGTAATTTATATGTAATTTATTCTCGAACTTTTCTGCATATAAAAGAAGATCTTGTAACGTCAATGATTTTTATTATAATTGTGAGCGGATCCGTTGATTTGATTCCTTATTTGTAACAAGATTTTCCAGTTTCATAGATACTTACTTCGATGGTTCTTGTTATATACTGTATCAGCATTTTGATCAAACTCATTGTAACATCGCCAGCACATGCAGTAAATTATTCTCACATTTTGTTCACTTTCGGCTTTATTTATATGACGTACATAATGATCTAACTTAACGTTAGTATTGCACGAAAAATGCCTAATCAATTTGCAAATTAAAACTTTGTTATTATGTTTTATATTATATACTCAATTTGAAATACAAGAAAGTTAACGCGTCTATATATTTTCTAAATTTTGCTCCAACCACGTATTTTGGCCAAGTTCCAATGAGAGAACTTTTCCGAGATAATATTATAATAATTATAATGCATATTCCCGTTATATATCCAGTAGTTATTATACATGTACATCATCACCTCGCAAACTAAGATTTATGTCTTTATGATCTTTACGTTTGATAGTAACACATTTGTAATCTTTCGAGTAGAGTATATACCAAAAGTTTTGTTTAGGTTTTCTTGCCTTTTTTGTATTACGTTGAAAATAAAGAATGGCCCATTGTTTCAAAGGAATATTAGCATATATACCATAAAAAAATCTTTTGGCATATTCGTCCAACTTTTCACCTCGTGGGTCAGTTCAACTCCCCAAACTCCCCAGCAATATCCATTATCTATATAAAAATCTAAAAATCCTACTGAACCAAACGTCCCACCTACATCAGAAATTATTGATGCATCCTCAGGAATTACCGTTTGAGCTGTACGAAACCACTCCATCTGCCAACCTCTCTCATATAAATATGACCCTCTTCCAAAAGAATTTTTCAAAGTGGATGGGCTCACACGTTCAACAGTTCGCACCAAAAACTCATCGAATGTATTTGCAGGTGATTGATTAAAATTTAAAGGAGCTTTGAACAGATAGTTGCTGAGAATAGTCGCATTATGGGGGCAGAAAATATTAATCGTTCATCATACGTATTAATTGTAGAGAAGATACCCATTTAAATAACTTTCTTAGGCATGGATCAAATAAGTCACCATAAAAGGGTTTATTTGGTTGTAATAACCTATTATGAATAAATTTAGATTCTTCTTCATCTGCAATCCAATTACGGGTTGTTAGCTTAAACGGTTCGTCGTTAAGTTAACTAAGATTATTTGCTAACAGGGAGTTTAAGTTCGTCTAAACTAT